CAATTCCTTTCGACTACAATCTGTTCAAACAATGGTAAATTTGTGACATTGTGCCGTTATAACGCAAAAAAATGTAAATACCTCTTTCTAAGTACAAAAGTTTCTTAATTTGTACAGATGAGATTTATGCAAGCCTTGTGGAAGATTCTCTATCATGAACAAGGTCCGGGATTGTCGCCACCAAGGATTGCGGAGTTTTAGTTCACAAATCCTTGAAAGGATCAAGAACAACTTCATCGGTAAGTATGCCCATTTTGTGTGATATTAAACGACAGCTTATCAACTTGGTTCTTATCACGCAATGCTTTCATTTTATGTAGGTCTGACAGTGGAGTCTGGGTCTGCCAGTGGATGTATGGCGCAAGCTGGGACTCCTCTTATATTTGGGTAAAGACAATTCTAGTTCGCATATTAGAAAACCACACTTGATTGTTATTTTTGAATCATGCGTTAAGCACCATGTTTGTTGATGTTGATAGCCATGCACTCAAGTGAGGAGGATGCAGATCGCTTTGTACCTTGTTTGAGAGCCCATGAACTACATAAGGCATATGGTGCTCACGGAAGCAAGAAAAGTTGCACCTCAAGTTGAAGCTGCAGTGGAAGAGTACAAGAAAGCCCATGAAAGGAGGAAAAAGAGAAGAGCACAAGGAAACCCAGTCAAAGAGCCCAAGGACAACCTGATTTTGCGTTCTTTTTTTTCAAGATGATGGACAACCTTTTTTGGTTTGGTGAATGCTTTCTATATTTGGTTTTTAGTTTGGTTTGGTTTGGTGAATGCTTTCTATATTTGGTTTTTGGTTTGGTGAATGCTATCTATATTTGGTTTTTGGTTTGGTTTGGTTTGTTTTTTCACAGAAATGGCAAAGAGACTTGACCAAAATTCCAGCTTCCAACTTGTGAGTGAGGTTGCTTCTATTCAAGCCATCTTATCTTGTAGAGAGGTTTAATTGGGATCATATCATTCCACTTCGTTCCCAATTGCCCTCGTCTAATTAAATTTGCATTCATGTATAGTTAACCCAAAAGGTAAAACTGATTAGCTCCCAATCAGCATAATTAATGACCAAACCCCGTACAAGGCAGATAGAAAATTCTTAGGTAATTAATTTATGTTCCTAGGATATGGAAAGGATTCCATTCCTTGAATTTCCACCAACGATGTATGCACTCCCCTTTTAGTGAGAGAATTCATTGTATTAATAAATACAAGAAATTCGTTACTCGTACTTATTCAATTAATTTTATGCGTCGAAGCAATAAAATTAAGTCATAATTTTTTAGATATTGAAATTTTAGATAAGGATTCCACTAAGAGCCTTAAAATAGATAGTGAAGTAGTTCTGATGATTTAATAATATTATCACTTCAATTCGGAGTTCTTTCTTACTCCGGCTCTGTGAAAATCTTTTTGATGGAATAATTAAGTCATAATTTTTTGGTTGATTGTATCATTAACTATTTCTTTCTTTTGGTACGAGGAACTTATCATGAATCCATTAATTTCTGCCGCTTCCGTTATTGCTGCTGGCTTGGCTGTCGGGCTTGCTTCTATTGGACCCGGGGTTGGTCAAGGCACTGCTGCGGGACAAGCTGTAGAAGGTATCGCGAGACAACCCGAGGTGGAGGGAAAAATACGGGGTACTTTATTGCTTAGTTTGGCCTTTATGGAAGCTTTAACAATTTATGGACTGGTTGTAGCATTAGCCCATTCTTGTGATCGGTTTAATAGGAATTTTCTTTTATGGTTCATATTCCGGATTGGGTTCATCCCTTTAGTAATCGGATGAACGTAGAGATGAAAGTGGAAGAACTCAATTCAATGGTCCCCCCTATGTTTCTAACTTGAGGGGGACCATTGGGTTCTCAATAATCCAAATTCTTTAGCTTTATTCGGATAACTAATAACACGCTAGACTCAAAATCTCGTGTTAAAGAGCGTGGAGGTTCGAGTCCTCTTCAAGGCATAATATTGAGAATTCTCATTGAATGAGCAATTCAATAAGAGATCTTGGAATTGGAATATGTTCGGCAGTGGATCACAAAATCTTGGTGATCTTCTCTATCTAATGAATGGGGAGTCCGCTTTGAAAGTGTCAGCCCTGCAACCACCCCCGGGTATATGCTTCAACAGGAATTACACATGATACAATAGAAACCTCTGGTAAACTGCCCGCCCGTAACCCAACAGATCAACAGATAAAGTACATTACATAGTCCGTTTTAGGGATTGGCGACTTACCCATTCATAGAGATCTGTTGGCATTCCATCCTTACTTCTCCTTTCAGGGCCTATCCGAAAGAGAATCCAATACTTCTGAGTCGTGAATATCTGAATAGGACGAACCACCCCCCGTATATCTTTGCTTCGGAACAAAACAATTAGAATTAGGCACGGTCAACTGGAATGTGTATTATCCATATAGGGATCTTCCAATTGAGAAGATCCATCGACCTGAGACAAAGAGAAGGGTCTATCTATTTTATTTAGTTATTCAGTTAAACCAATGCCAATGATTCGTTATTGGAGCAAATAGCAACAACCACCATTTCATCCAACATACGTCTTTTTTATTTTCCAATGGATTTCTAGCTTTCATTAATGGAAATTTTTTGATGTATTGGGTAATAGCTCTGGTTGCTCGCTGTTCAAGAATTCTTGTTTAGGCAGTTCATACCATCCATACATAGTGTTTTGATCTAAGATTTCCATTCTTCCAAGTTTCAGCAGTAACATATTGTTCCATGTCCAAAATATGGAAGAAACAGGTTCCTGGATAACAAGCCTAAGGATTTTCTTATTGATAATAGTGATGATATTGATGATAGTGACAATATTGATGCTAGTGACGATATCGACCTTGATACGGAGCATGAGCTTCTAACTAGGATGAATGCGCTAACTATGGATATGATACCGGAAATAGACTGATTTATATCACCCTTCAATTCGAATTAGCGAAAGCAATGTCTCCTTGCATAATATGGATTCCAAACATTCATGATCTGGATGTGAATGAGTCGAATTACTTATCCCTCAGTCTATTAGTGAACTATCTCTCCAGGGATTGTGAGAGATGTTCCACTAGAAATATTCTTGTTATTGCTTCGACTCATATTCCCCAAATATTAAATCGAGGTGCCCATTCTATGACAATTCTCAACATCTTACCCTCCATTTTTGTGCCTTTAGTGGGTTTAGTATTTCCAGCAATTGCAATGGCTTCGTTATCTCTTCATGTTCAAAAAAACAAGATTTTGTAGATCCGATAGGGGCAAACAAGACTTAGGCTTGGATCCTAACCTGGATATCTATTTAGTATAATATAATCTAAGAAGCGGCTTCCCTCAAACCTAAATGCAAGGGATTCTTCTGCAGGCATAAAAATGATATATGAGTAAATGAACTAGCAAAAAATCGAGATTGCGGCCGATACCTGGAATAATAAAGAAAAGCCCGTATATCTATAAGTGTGTAGATGGGAGATCATATGAAAGGGTTCCCATTATTTTCGATGTAACGAATTCGCCGAATTGCTACCAACGACTCACTTTATAATAGTGGGAGTTGGCGAAAGTTACTTCGGAAATATCAACTTCATTTGGGCTAGTCTTCCACTTCCAATAAAATGCAACGGGATCTAGTATGAGTTGGCGATCATAAGGTATATGGATAGAACTTATAGTGGGGTCGCGAAAAATAAGTTATTTTTGTTGGGCTTTTATATTTTTTTTAGGTTCATTAGGTTTTTGGGGGGTTGGTCTTTCGAGTTATCTTGGCAGAAATTTAATATCTTTATTTCCCTCTCAGCAAATACTTTTTTTTTTCATAAGGAATCGTGATGTCTTTCTATGGGATCGCGGGTCTATTTTTTAGCTCTTTTAATTTAATGTTCCTATGATATGGAAAGGCTTCCATTCCTTGAATTTCCACCAACGATGTATGCACTCCCCTTTTAGTGAGAGAATTCATTGTATTAATAAATACAATAAAAAGGCTTACATAATTAATGGATTCTTTATTGTGTATAATTAAAAGTGTATTTTACTATAAATGAAGCATGATAGATTCACAGGGGAATAAAAGAAGCATGAGTCTTGATGAAAAAGGGGAAAAAATAACCATAGATAAAAAATCATTGTAATCAAGCCATATCCATACAATTCACGCCTATCATCGTCGCTATACTTGTGATCAAATGTAAATAAAACAATAATTTTCGAAAACCATTAAAAATGAAGATGAAATAAGTAACACATTCTTCGACCTAATTGGAACTGCTTAGAACAAAAGCGGATTAAAATCTCTCCCAATGGAATTCATTTGCAATTTCATAGGTAGTCCCTACTTCCACTTCTATAATTTTGAGAAAACACCACTTCTCAACAACAATGAAAGTCAATTGCAATTTCATCAATAGTCCCCAATCGTGGTCCCATTTCAATTGCAGGCAAATTTGCACCCTTGCAATAGCTTCTCACATCATATCAATTTAGAGATACAATTGCACCTCCTCGCCACATCATCTTGCAAGTCACAAAAATTGTACCATTGGATATGACCATTACTGCATCTCGTCACTTGTCACAGGGAACTTAGCCATGGCAAATTCACAAAATACTGCATGCATAGAAAAATATTGGTCTGGACAATTCAAAAAATGGGAGACTTTCCTAGTCAGATGATGTACTGGCTCCCGTCAATACCTGACAATTTTGAGTGCTGGAGAATTAAGGAAAAGACAAAAGACTGGAAAAAAAGAACCCAACAAAGACTTAGGAAACTTGTTAACAGAAGACATCCATTGTTGGCCCCTTTGCTGCTCCAACGCTCCACCCCTCCCTGCATCAATCGAATCTCATGTAAGCCGAGGACGTTTGCTTGAGGAGGCCTCAGGGGTCTCTTGATGCTCCGTATGCCGAAGGTCAATGAAAATATTGGTCAATTCGGCTATACGGTACACCGGCAAATAAGCGCACGGGTCCTCCTTAACATAAACCCCCATATCCATCCCAACCCTTTCAAGAAAGGTGGTCACGAAGGTGGCATATGGAAAGACAGTGTACCAGTTTCCCCCTCTAGGAGCAGCCTCAACCATTTTCAGACACATGAGAGATGCGAGGTTAACAAGAACACCTCTTTGAGCTTGCACAAGGATAAACAAGTCAAGTTTACGAATAATCAAATGACCACGGTACCTTGGCAGGAAGCAGTTGACGATCATCCAGTGGAGGAATCGAAGAGGATCTGGGAGGAAAGAAGCCTGGATGCGCCCCTTCGTGAGTTTCGCCAGTTCAACTTCAAACTCAAAATCGTACAGCCGCCCAAGATCGCTTCTGCTCTCAATGGGGTGTCCTCCGGCGGGGAGATCGAGGATCTCAGCAAACTGATGAGGCTGGAAGCAGACTCTATGTCCCAGGAAGATCGACACGAGATGAGAATCACAGGGACTAGAAAGCTCTAAATTGTGGTAGAACTTCCTCACCACATGGGGGCAGTAACTGGTGCTTCCTCGGCTCCGGAGATCAAAAGAACTTTTCCCAGCCAAGATTTTTTATTAACTTCTTCACTTCTTGAGGGAAAGGACTGAGGTGGATGAACTCGTACTCGGCCACAATTGTTGTTTTTTGCAGTATTCATTTGATAGAGATAGTATCCCCATTTTCGCAAACGATTTACCTTTGTTTGCCATGGAGTCTGGAGGAAGAAGGAACAAGGGAAGGTGAAGATGGAGGAAAGAGAGAATGTAGGTGTAAGAAAAAGTGATCGTGGGGTTGAGTCCGGAGACGTGAGTGTGATGGAGACGGTTGAGTCTGGAATGTCAAGAGTTAGAAGATTTCGGAAGATGTGTAATGATGATGGTAACTCGTGTAGGTTAAACTAGGGTAAGTAAAGCTAGTTAAACTAGGGCTGGGACAGGAGAAATGGAATGGGCTCGCACGTTCCAGGCCCACTTTGAATATTGCATGGATCATGTACAACCCCACGTTTGAATGTTATTTAAAAGCCTGCAAAAATCAATGATCAGACCCAGTCCAACTAGAATTAGTCCTAAACGCAGCGTTAATACATAAACACAAATTAAGGAGACCTCTCCATCCGATTCGAATCAAATTCTGTCTTCTTCATCTCCTTCCTCAATCCTCTGAGCTAGACGAACACTACATATTAGGAAACCTTAATTTCACCGAGTGATAGAAGTTTCGAGAAAATGACAATAACGCTAAGACAAGATGACAAAGCACTCGCAACATGAACCCTAGGGTTAGCAAACCTCTTTCAAGGGTTCTTTTGCAAATGAAAAGTTTGATGAACACAATAATATACATGGTCGCCGTAATCATGTTAGAAAGAGATAGGCGAGGGGAAATAAAATGGCGAAGAACAAACAAGACAAAATAAATTGGGAAATTCAATCTACGTCGAAAGTGGATGCAAGTAATTGGGATTCAAAAAGATGATTAAGTTGGGGAGTTCAAATTGGATGGGGAGCTTCTCTTGGAACTGTGAAGGGGCGTCCCTCCAAGACGAGAGAGGGATCGTGTAATTGGTTAGGGAGACTGGAAATTGGTTAGGGCGGCAGTGAGCTACCCAATTGGGTTATTTAATTTAATCGGGGCAGTTAGTTGGACTATGATGAAAACAAACTTAACGCGGCAGGAGGCTTTTTGTAATTTGTTTAGTTATTTAGTGGCGCAGTTAGGTTTAACAAACTTGAACCGTGGAGATTGAAAATGAATGGTTAAGATCGGCCAAGTACCCGTACCCGGATTTTGCCCTGGGCACCGTAGAAGTCACCATATATATACACACATAATATCAAGGTATACTACACTTTTGATTTTACTCAAGATACGATAGAAGATAGGTATGATGAAGTATGTGCATAAATTAGAGGTTAGAGAATTAGGGACTGGAGTTCACCTATTAGAGGTTAGGGTATAATATCATGCCCAAAAACACTATGGTTAATTCGGGATCTAAATAGTAAAACTCAATGGTCGTATGGTAGTGTAAATACAAGAATATAGCGTACTCCTGGCGCACGCTAGCTTGAACTATATGTGTGTGTGTAGTTTAGGTTGTCGTACGTTGAATATTAGTGTTTTGGTTGATAAATTTGACATAAGCTCTAAATGGGACGTGACAGCGATATAATTTATTATTAGAAAACCAAAGCATCACAAGTGATTGTGCTAAATATTGAAAAATTTCAATATAAACATACTACAAACTCTGTTATGAATCGAGAACACAAAATATCTAGAATATACAAAATAATTTAAAATATAAATAAGTTAATTAATATAAATTATAAAATAAATCTCTCCGGCCAACTAGCCCGGTAAAAAGCTTTTTATGTAGGATTCAAGAAACTCCACAATTTTTCATGTCACCTTTTTCATTTAAGTTTTCTCATAAATATATATGTTACACTAAGCTAAAAATAATAAAGACATCATAATCATCATCATTCATCACTAAGACTCGAACCTACAATCTAAGAGTCTCAAATTAATATCATTTAGAGTGTTAACCAATGAGGCAAACTCTATTTGATGCTATCAACTACATAAATATTACTACTCATGCCACGAAATGAGATTAATAAATGAAACGAATTTGACATTCCTCACTTATTAAAGACGGTATAATTATTTTTCTATAATGCACATCATTTTTTCAGTTTATTTTTATGACATCAGTAATTTGTTCCCCTAACTTCCATGCAGACTTATTAAAAACAATGTCTTTACTTTTTTGTTTGATGCAATTCTAATTTCCTTTATTTTTTCTATATTTGAACATAATTTATTTATTTTTATTGTGCGCGTGAAGATAGAAAACTTTGGATCAGGTTCACCTTCATAACCTCAAAATTGCGTCAACTTAATAATGAAGTTTCAAAATTTTGCAGTTTCATGATTGAAATTAAAATAATTTTTAAATAACCTACCTTTATGAATTGTATCTTTTTAATTTAAATAGTATCTCAAAAACTTTGTATAAAAAAATGAATTAACTATGATTTACAAAACATCCATTAATATATTTTTGGTTAAAATATTCCAATCATGTATACCATCGTGACATAGTTTTCATATCATCATGATATAGGACACATTCATGTATATTATTTTTATCACTATAAATGTCATTTTGTATAGTATATTTATTGATTTTTTATGTAAAAATATGAAATCTGAGTTCAAACGAATAAGATATAGTCAGTTAGAATTAACGTGGGAGTGGTTATGCCTTTGTGTTTGATTTTAGGGTTATGCACCTAGAGTGTTCTAGACAAGTTTCACAACAATTATCTTTTGTCTTTAAAAAAAAAGTGTGATTTAGTTATCTTTTTGTATTTTAACTTTGCTCAAGTCAACATTGTTTGCAAAATTCCCTTTTCTATTCCACCTTTTTTTCTCACACAATCTTAGCTCCCTATTTGCATACATTTATATGTCGACTCCACTTCAAACCTCCGTCATTCGTGAATACGTTAAAATTATCAGCCTCCTCATTTTGCTTCTACTTCACTATTGATTGGTGAATGATTAGAACAACCTAGGTCACCACCTCTCCATAGACATCTTCATTTTGACTTCACTCAAGTCGCATTCATTCCTAAATTCCTTCTCATACACAATTATAGAAGTACATATTGGTAGTATGTGAATATAAGTATATAACTACAGCTTAGTTACATGATTATGATATGCAATTTTCTCTCATTTTCATTGATCTAAACTATTTTTATTTCTTAGTTGCTTATTTATCAAATATGTGAATTTTCACTCTCGAACCTCATTCTATACATGTTGAGTTGTGTTGATGTCATGTAAAAAAATGTACATCCCGAAAAAAGATTTGTGCACAACAAAAGCTTCACTTTGTTGTCTAAGTATTCAAATGAATTTAACACCTAACCGTAGTATTTTTTTAACTTTATTAGTTGACATCCGATTCAATTTTAAAAGTGTTGAGTCTAATTTCTAAAAGTGTTGAGTCTAATTTAAAAGTGTTGAGTCTAATTTCTAAATAAATTATATTAAAAATCACAAAGAAATATTGTATTATACATTTTGTTTCATAACATAAATTATTAACATTTAAAAAGTGTTTTTCAATAAGCATTTACAAATGTTTGAATAAAATCAACAAAAAAAGGAGAAATTTAGTTATCGACCAAATCCAAATTTTTATTTAACTTTTCATGTGACGTTTATTTCAAACATAAAAAAAAGAAATAAAACATTTTTCATATACTTAAACACCAATGATACACCATGTTTTTTACTATAATAGTTTAAATAATGGACATGTATTATATGGATTTTCAATTCGAGAATAAATTTATTATTGATTGAGAAATGTACTCTTACCAGAAGGTTCAACTGCTAAGTTTGTTGATTTACACATTCATCAAACATAGAGTTGAGTTGAAACTCCATTTTATCATTACATATGATAAAATGGTAAGGTTCAAAAATGTATGATCTATAATGATATCATAGAGTTTAGTGCTATGAGTCACAAGATTGGTTACATCTCAATTCCAATTGGTTTGGTTAGTGTGAGATATCGAAGTGGCAAAATCTTTTGGAGTGTACATATGGATTTGCAATGATATATGAGTGACAAGATGGACATTATTTGAATGATGGGCAAGGGTTATACGTATCAATTAGCATACAAATTTACTATTCAATAGTCTACTACCAGAATGTTCGACTTCTAAGTTAGTTGAGTTATACATTCATCAACGGAGAAATAAGTTGAAATGGCTCTGATTCGATCATTACATATGATAATTTAAATCATGTGCGTGATTTTTTCTTCACGAGATTGAAAAAAATAATAGACTCCCACAATATTTGGCTAAAATATGTGGATGCATGAATTTAATGAAAAGTTATGTACAACATATGATGTTGAAAACTCATGGTCAATCAAAGAGCAGACGATCACAAATATGATTTACAAAATAGTGATGAAGCTATGACTCTGATTGTTTTACATGATCGTTGCTTCTAGCCACACTCAAACAACATATATCGAACCTATTATCAAACAATAAAGTTCGAAAAGATAAATAGTCTTAATAAATATAAAAAAATATGAAAACATGTCACACATCGAGCGGGCACAAAACTAGTAATGATAATACCTATTTTTGCTTATTATTTCCAGCTAATTAATTATTACATTCCTTATTGTAATTACTACATTCATAATCGTCTTCATTACTTCTTCTAATAGCCTTTAATTTTCTGTAAGTCTTCAAAGGTCTTCATTAGTTTCTCTAGCAGCATTTTTAATTCTCCTGGGTGAACCTTGATTAATTTTGATTAATTAATATTTTATTATAATTTTTATAACCTTTTTTCTCGTGCAATGGATCTCTAGCTATCGTGTCGGTTAAGAGATGCATCACAACATTGGTTTCGCAACAATCTCTTGAGCAAGGAATTAATTGGCCTGGTTTTTTCAGCATGGCATGCTGGTTATTATGGAAAAATTGCACCGCTATGGCATTCAAGGGACCTAGTGCAGCGTTGACCGCTCCTTCGCTCTTGCACTCCATTATGGTTAAGAGCAAGCTTTGAAACGATTCCTGGCATGCCCAGTGTAACATCCCGACTTTTTGGTTTAGGTTCGACCATAATAAGTGAATGGTTGGATCGTCTGTTACGTACAAAAACAAAATCAAATCAAACCAAACCGAACCGAGTTCCGAACCAATGCCTAAATTACACATGTATGGCTTGAT